TTTATTTTCTCACTGGAGAGACTGCATGGCACACTTCCCATCTCCCAGGCTTTAAAAAAGCCCTCAAACATCGTTCTACTGGCAAGCTATCTCACATTGCTGCCATGCCACAGGTTGAGTGATTATTGGCCTGTGAGCTCTAGACTTGCATGTATAGAGACAATGCCATCCTGAATATACTTCCAGTCTTCAGAGGACAGTAATGGAGAGAATGCAGGTTCATTATAAAGAGCCCTGGGAATAATTGTCACATGAACCAGCTGGTGGTATGGCAGTGCTCAGAGTCTCTTAGGGTAAAAGGAGAATTTGGAGCTGAAACTCTCCTTGTTCCCTAAATTATCAACTATTAAAATGACAAGTGTTCTTGTATGTTTGTTGTTGATTATATTTCAAACCCTCTTTGTAAATAATCTGAATTTAGGGTGTAGAAAGATCTGGATAAGATTTTTAAGGTAAGTGGGAGAGCTGGCTAGATTAAATGTTGTTTTATTCCAAATTGACGGAGATGAAATTTTTTACTTTATTTGAAATCCAGTCTTGAGGCTTCTTAATTATTACAGATGGTGTTTTATTTTCCAAAATAAATGTATATTGATTAGAGCAAGAACCAATTACTATGCCACTAGTTGTTGCAAAAAGGAAGCAGCTGTAAACATAGTTGGTTTGGGTGTAATTATTTTTAACCTAATATCAGTGTAAGAAAAAAATCTAATCTCACACTTCTTCAGTAAACATATTTGAAATATAATTAATGTGCATGGGAGGGAGAGAAAAATTTTGACTAATAGGAGATAACATTTATCAGTTACAAGATTTGGATAATGTAAAGAGCTGATGGGTAGAGAATAATTGATAGAGGAATTACCATCATGAGAGATTTTAATAGCAAGGAATGGAACTTGCAGTAGTAAGTAGACACACAAATCTCAAAGTTGAAGAAACCAGATGTACATTCTCTTTTTAAAAAAATGGAAGTCTTTGGAGGATTATTAGTAAAAATCAGAAATATGCTTATTTTGTTTCTAATATATACAGTATCCTTCTCCACTATGGGAAGTTTAAAAAAAAATCACAGAAGGAAGAAATGGCAAACAGCTTTTATATTGTAGCAGAAACTTGATTCAGATGAGGCTTTTTCTTTCTAGCTCAGTACATTTAGTTGTTTCTAGTATATGCTTAATCTTGTTTAGATATTGTGTCCTTGTTATGAGACTAACTGACTTTCATGTTTTCTCTCAGTGTCTGTGTTGTATGTGCGTGGTCACCTAGTGATGAAAGCATACATCAAATCTTTATTTCGGTCATCGACCAGCATAGCATTACACAATCAACTGAACAATTTGATTAGAACAAAATAGCCAAATCCAGAAACACTGGCCTTGAATATGAATTCATTCAGATAACAGAATAGCAGAATGTATGAATTCCAATACAATATATTGGAATACATTCAGTACAAATTCAGCAATGTCCACAGGGGCAATCAGCAGTGTCAGAATAGCCAATACTATTCAACAATTAAAGCCTCATCCCTTTTAAATCTTTGTTGCACATACCGAAAAAGGGATGGAGCTTCAGTAGTCCAGTCGTGACTACCATTCTGATATTGTTGCCACCTCTGCAGAGGCCCCTGTACCAATTCCTGCTTGGCTGAAAAATGCCTGCTCATTCAAACTGCAACATCGACTTATTACATATAGCACACTATCTTATGAGTTATATAATCCTCAAAATGAAAATGAATTCATTCAGTATAAGTGTGTTCCTCCTACAGCTAGCACACTGGAAAGAGAAATGTTATGAAGATATATAAGATTGGGATAGTGGCAGTCCTCAGAGATAAAAGAGACACTAGAGCTTCCAGGACAGGGCTGAAGAAATCCAGGTAACCACTAGACAGCAGCAAAGGGGCAGTTCTCACTGCAGCCATTTAGCGTCATCCAGATGTTTGCAGCCCATATCTAGTAGCATTACATTTATTACCTTTACCTTTGAAAAACATCTGGTCACAGGCAGGTATGCCTCTGTTCTCTTTTCTTTCTACTTCTAATGTTGTAATGTGACTTCAGCAAGATAACCAAAATGCTTACTGATTTCTATATTTATATGGACAATAGATAGAGACTGGAAACTTACTTCCATTTAAACCTCCTTCCATATAGCTAACATGTTTACAACTGAACAAATTTTGACTGTAAAGTATTTTGAATTTACACTGGAGTAGTACTTTTAAAATTTTCTTTGTAGGTAGCTGAAATCTGTTATTCTGGCTTGCTACTGAGAATGTGAATATATCAGTACTCAGTTTAAGCTTTCTCCATATAAAAAATGGGGGGATCTAATTTCTTTTTAAAAAATCCAACAGCTTTTTATCCAGTGTATTTTGAAAAATGTAAATGTTTACATATTCATAATTACTTAATTTTGTCAGATATTAACAATATTTAAGTTTTTGTTTTTATTTGTATGGGAAGTGTTTCCATCCAGGAGGCCTGTTCCTAAATGTATAAAGTATGGAAATCTGTTTAAAAATTATATTTTGAAAGGAAGAGTACATAAATTAAATAATTGGCAAGGATTGGCTTTTCCACTAAGCTTTATTTATTTTTTCTTTCTAATCTGTATTCAAAATTGGAATAATTTTTTATTCTTATTCCTCATTATGTTCCCTAAAAGACTCTCCCCATTTTCTGTTAGTGCATCCTATGCATAGAAACTATTCCCTGAATATACCGTATTTTTCGTGTATAAGACACTTTTTTCTAAAATCGTTACACTAAAAATTGAAGGTCATCTTATCCAAGGAAGTAAGCCGAGGAGAGAACCGCGTGGTTGCGAAACTGCC